AGAGAACAGTGAGCACCATGGACAGTACCTGGTGCCTGGCCAGAATTTTTAAGCACAAGAGCCTGAACACACAACGACAGACACCAATTGTGGAGTGCTGACCACAGGCCACACCGTTCCAAGGTGCAGCATGGGCTCCCCTAGCTGTAAATCTCTTGGGAAACCCTTGGGCAACCGGGACACGAGGGCTAGTACTTGCCAAGGTCACCAGTCAGAACCTAGCAATGCCTGGGTTTCTGCCCCAGGCCCTTTGGCCTTCCTGCTGTGCTCAGGATTTCTTCTGGACACAGAAACTGGGATTTCTTTCAACCCGCCCAACTGCACAGCACAGCAGGAGTAGGGCCCAGGGCACTAGGGACCCCGGTGCCGGTTCAAGCTCACTGCACGTGGCCCCACACAGGTCTGTTCCCCACTCTGCCCTGTCCCCCCACTGTGAAGTGGCTGGACAGCCACCCCTCTCTCTGCCCACCTGTGCTAGGGTTGTTAGTCCTGCGAGAGATCGGGAGGTAGCACCCCTGGGACCCAGACCCCCCAGATCTCCTTCCCCGACAGTTACCCCCTACACCTCCCAGGTGACCCCCAGTGCTGTCCTGTTTCCACTGTCCTGTTTCTGTGGCACAGCGGATGGGGTGGCATGTGGGGCAGGGATGGCCCCTGGACTCAGAGACAGGAAACTTAGCCACAAGAGGAGACAATGTTTCCTCTGTGCCAACTGAAGAAATAGGGTGTCGAGCACAGCCATCCTCCCTTCCTCTAGGTCTCCTCCCCTAAGCTCTCACTCTCCCGCCTCCAGCTCAAAGGCAGGGCTCAGGTGAAAAAGGCAGAGGAGGGCAGACTTCCTTTTGAGCACCAAGTTTAGGGTGAGGGGCCCCCGGACATCCCAGACAAGGACATGGCTGTCCTCTCCTCACACACAGCCTCTGGGGCTTAGGTGGGACAGTGCCCGGGAGGACCCTTACACACCAGGCCCAGTTTCCTCAAACCTGTCTGATCAAAAGCCGCCTCCCTCCTCCTCCCTTCCAGCCTGCTGACACAGAGACTGTCCTGCACCAGGGTGCTCGCAGGGAGACTTCCCCCACCCCAACCCCCATTCCTTGTTCTCCCAGGCAAAGGGGCAGGTGAGCGCCGCTGGAGGCAGGACTGTAGGGACCTTTGCCAGCGACTCCCCACCGCTGTCCTCTCTGGCGGGAGCCAGTGTGGCTGCCCCAGCAGCAGCCCTTGCAGTTCAAGAGCACATCTGCACATCATTAGTCCCAACCGGCGGGGCCCCAAAGTGCTGACGAGGTAGAAACCCACGGGCCCGGCCTCTGGTTTGCAAACAGTGAGTTTCTGAAAAGCAGCCCTGGCAGGCGGATGGGCGGAGGGGGGTCGAGGGGGGGCGTGGAGGATGTTGAACCTGGTGTCTAATGTGGCATATAAACGAGGGAGCTGCATTGGCTCATACGCTCATAAGATCTTCCCCGAGGGAAGCCCAGAGAGCCGAGGGACAGGCTAGGGCAGGGCAGTCAGCATGGAGTCTGGGAGGGGGCACTGACAGCCAGGCCCAGCAGAATCCCCCCTTCCCCGTCGCTGGACTCGGCTCTGGGTGAGGAGCCGAGGGGTGCAAACACTTAAAGACTTCAGCTCGTCCCCAGAAGCTTCCAGCACCACCCTGACGTACACACACACTACTTATGTCAACAGCCACGTGGAACCACCCTCGTCGCTCTGTCAGGGGGCCCAGCCGCTCTCGGTGGAGTTGGCAGCTGCCCCCCAGCCCCCCATCCCCGCAAGGGGTGCAGTTGAAAATGTGAGGGTTTTTTTCTTTTTGTCTTTGGTTTTGCTTTCTATGAAGACGGAGCAGGGGGCGTGACTGGCCGCTAACAGGGACAGCCTCATACAACGGCGCATTTTCCTCCGTCTCCCATTATTGTCACATCCTGCCAAACATTCACATAGGTGACAAATCTGTTTATAATTACTGGAGTCTAGAACTGAACTTCATTTACATGTAAATGTGAACTGGCAATTTCCAGGGTCTTAATAGACACTGAATTTTCGAGGAATGCAGCTACCGTGTAAATGGAGCCCGGCTCCGACTCTTGTTTTACTTGGAACCTTGCCCGGAGTTCTCACCTACTGGCCCCGGCGGGGAGGGGTCAGTAAAGCCTGTGGTGCTTCTGTGCAGGGCCCCCCACCCCCCGCCTTGTCCAGAGGACTGCGCGAGGCTCACAGGCTACCCAGGGATCCACTGCATGGGATTCAATGATAAAGAATTTTCATTGAAATGATAAAAGAATTTTGCATTCAATTCTCCTTAATCTCACAGTTGGGATGTAATTTCGATTGAATTTGAAATCAGATGTGAAGATAAGCTGTATTTTTTTAATGAATTTAATTTCAGGAGTGTAAAGGGGCACCATACATATTTGCGGTCCCCAAAGGGGGGCTGATCATAGAACCCCACCATTCTGGCACACCACTTTAATAAGTTAAAGGTCCCGGGGTCCTCCTGGAACCTGTGTGTGTCTGTGCCCGGGACTCTGTATTTTTTCACACTGATGTGTGAACCTTCCTTAACATATTACTCGTCAATTACTTATTTACTTTAAAATGAACCTTGAATGTTTATTCACCTCAGCACAGCTAACGCTGCTTAATTCTTATAAATGGTTGCACGGTATTTTGTGGTGTGAAAAGCCATAGCTTATTTACCAACTCCTACTGGGTGACTGCACTACTGCCATTTATTTTCCCTTGTAAATAGTTATTACTATACGGATATAGGTGTCACTGTGTGTCCGGGTGAATACACCTGTGAGGTAAAGTGAATATAAACTTCTGGGTTAGAGAGCCATTATGTCGTTTAAAGTAGATACTGCCAAATTACCCTCCAGGAAAAACTGCACCAATTCACACACTTTTATCAGCATACCCAAACAGATCTGCTTTAGAACAGACCTTCTTCAATATTGGGACTCGAGAAGCATTTCAATATTTGGTAAGTTACTTGTCTTTCGGTGTCTCCTGATTATTATAATTTGCAGTTTTTAATATACTGTTGGGTAATCTGTGTTTTCCCTGTGATGAGCATCATCTCCCTACACATCAATCCTTTCCTACATTCTTCTATGCATTATTTATTTATTTCTAAAACCCCTCTCTATATTAAGGAAATTGGCTTTTGTCATCTATGTTCCCTTATTTTCCCCCACAACTTTTTTTTCTTTTTGCTTTTTGGGTCACACCCGGCAATGCACAGGGGTCACTCCTGGCTCTGCACTCAGGAATCACTCCTGGCGGTGCTCAGGGGACCATATGGGATGCTGGGAATTGAACCCAGGTCGGCTGCATGCAAGGCAAACGCCCTACCTGCTGTGCTATCTCTCCAGCCCCTCCCCCACAACTTTGTCCTTTTCTCTTAGACTTGGTGGCTCTTGGACCACACACGGCAGTGCTTAGGCCTTACTCCTGGTTCTGCACCCAGGGATCACTCCTGGCATTGTTTGGGGAACCAGATGGGATGCTGGGAATCCCACCCAGGTTAGCCACATGTAAGGCAAGCACCCTCCCTGCTGGACTATCACTCCAGCCCTCTTATGATACTTTAAAAACAAATTTCTATTTTCCAAGAACCACCCCCCTGGGTCTGGAGCAATAGCACAGCGGTAGGGTGTTTGCCTTGCACGCAGCCAACATGGCTGACCCGAGTTTGATTCCTCTGCCCCTCTCGGAGAGCCCGGCAAGCTGCCGAGAGTATCTCGCCTGCACGGCAGAGCCTGGCAAGCTCCCCGTGACGTATTTGATAAGCTAAACACAGTAACAAGTCTCACGAAGGAGACGTTACTGGGCCCACTCGAGCAAATCAATGAACATGAACCCCGTGTCCGTTACTCCCTACTGCATCCTGCCTACCAGCTGAGTAGAATTTCCGGCATCTGGACCCCACGGCTGGTGCCGGGGGTGGGGGGGCTGCACCACTCCCCTCTGCCACCACCAACAACCCTCCCAGGACCCCCGTCTCTACCATGCCCCCAACTGGAACCACCTCTCAGAACACATCTCTCTGGATCGGTCCCGTGCTGGAGCAGAATAAAGAATCTATCCATCCCCCAGCCCCTCTCCATCGCCCAATCCCGGCAGCATGCCCAGTGGGTATCAGAACTCTGAGAACTCAGTGTGGCATGAGTTGGAGACCCCTGCGTCCTAGACACGGGTCTCTGCAGCCCCTGCATATGGGCACAGGACACAGGGAACCTCACTAGTCCCATGGCACAGACGAGGAAGCACAACCCGGAAAGCTCTGGAAGGGACCCGACATGACCCAGTCGGTCCCCCAAAAATTCAAACTCAAGCATGAACTCTCGCTCTTTGTACTGACTGCTAACAAGGTTAGCCCTGAGCCTCTGAAAGGCCGAAGCTTTGCAAGCACCAGGAACCTTCCAGCCCAAACCACCTGCCCGCCCTTCCCAAAGCAGCTTCTGCTTGCAAGTCCACAAGCCAGCAATCGTCAGCTGAAAGCCCCTTGCCCCCCTGGTGACCACTGGGCTGCCCCTCTCTGGACCTTTAAACACTGAGTCCCACCACAGGGGCCTCTGGCCTGTGGCTTCCCTGCCAACCTCAAAGTCTGTCTGGCATCTGCACTCACTGGCTCCATCAGCATGATTACAACCAGACCTCGGGGTAACAGAGTCTGGCCCCTGCAGCCTCTAGGACCTGTTTTGAGACCTTGGCCCCTCACAGAAGCAAAATAGCATTGAGTTCCAAAGCACCATGTATACTCCTTGCACTGTATTCTCTCTCTCTCTCTCTCTCTCTCTCTCCCCCCCCCCTCTCCCTCTCCCTCTCCCTCTCCCTCTATGTGTGTCTGTATCTGTGTCTCTCTGTCTCTGTCTCTGTCTTTGTCTCTCTCTGTCTCTCTCTGTCTCTCTCTCTCTCTCTCTCTCTCTCTCTCACACACACACACACACACACACACACACACACACACACACACATATACACCGAACCCTCGTCCTCACCTGTCACGATGGGGTAGGACTGCGGCCCAGGCACGGTGCTCCCAATGTCAGCGGGGGTGGGGCTGGTCAGGTTGGCCTTCATGTCGTCCAGCCCTCCAGCCAGCGAGGCCATGGCTGAGTACTCAGTGGTCTAGGAGAGGAAACAGAACTCAGCTCAGCTTCCGACACAGCACAGGAAAAGCCACTGAACCAGGCAAGCCCGTGCCAGCAGCCCACCCGCAGGGTATACCCAAAACCCCTGGCGGTGTACAGATGGGTTCAGCTAGACAGAGCCAGAACAGGGCCCACAAGCTTCCCCCGGTGGGGAGGAGGGGGCAGGATTTGGTGCAACATCACGCAGATGCACACCTAGCTTCTTCTTGGCCATCCCGTGTTCCCCCATCACCCAGCCCTTCTCCTTGAAACACAGGAGACAGCAGAAGCATTTGTCGAGGATAAAGTCAGAGTTTGGTAGCCAAGAACCAAGGTTTCTGGCTTGAGAGACAGCACATAGGGCTGAGTGCAGACTTTGCAAACTGGAGGTACCACAGGGTCCCCGGAGCACCACCAGGAGTGACCCCCAAGCACCAAAACTGGGAGTAGCCCCCATGCGCTGCGCAGTGTGGCCCTAAAACCATAATGAAAGAGAGCTTTCTGACTTCCGTGCTCTCAAAGCCCAGGGGGAGAATCGTAGAAATAAGCGTTAAAGGACTCTGGGATGCTGTCCAATCCAAACCTTCATTTCACAGATGAGCAGAGCTGGGTCCGCGGGGAGGAGGTTCTTACCCAGAGCAAACTGAGCGGAGCCCCCCGCTCCAAGACAGCTCCCCGAAAATCCCACCCCAAACCCCAGCCATTGGCACGGAGTGGCAAGCGCTGTTGAATTCTGCAAGTGCGTCCCCATGCGTGTGCTGGAGACCATGTGGGTGCACATCAGATTCATCTCATCCACCAAACCATCCACCAAGGGCCACAGGAGTCACAGCAAGAGATCAGAGCCCGCTCTGAGGCCTTTCCCAGGCTTCCACACTGCAATGAGAACCGCCGCTGGAGCAGATATGAGGACACCGTGCTTCTACTGGAGGACAGAGCCATGAGACCGAGAGAGGCCCTTCCTCCCACTCGGGCCCCAGGTCAAGTAAATATTTGCAACTTCCCAAGCCCAGTAATTGGGTTGCACATGTCAAGCCCTGGTGTGTGGGCAAAGGTCCCACGGTTGCTCAAGTCTGGGCCACACCGGGAGAAAGCAGCCAGCAAGTCCCTCATAAAGAGTTGTGGCACCCTTAGATAGGATGACAAGGACGAAGCCATGCAGAGGGTGGGATTCTGGGAGTCAGAGAAGACCAGGGACAGTGGTCAGCTGCAGACAGTGACAAGGATGGAACCACACAGGGGGCAGGAGCCCCAGAATCATAGGAGGCCATGGACAGCGTTCAGCAGTGGACCCTGCTCAGGCATGTCTCAGAAGCTTTCTCTACAGATCGATGAGTGAGTCCTTCCCAGCAAACACCATGCCAACACCCAGAGGGTTCAAGGGGCACTGAGACGGATCCCTGATGAGCACTTCCTGTTCCACGCATGGGGTTCTTCGATCATCTCCAGCAGAAGCTGCTCCAAAAGGGAAGCCGAGGCAGGAACACATTTGCAGCATCAGAAACCACAAGGAAGTGGCCATTGTGAGGACAGCAGGCATCCGCCACCGGCCCAGATAAACAGACCCAGGAAATGAGGCAAGTGCACGGGCCCCTGACTCTGAGGAGCCTCAATGTATAAGAAAGGGCGAGGCACAAATCAGCAGAGAGCGATGGGCTCTGGTCTACAGGCGGCTGCCCGCTATCCATTCAGGAAGCAGACGGGAAGAAATTGGATCTCTACACCAGACCCAAAAATCAATTCCAGGTGCATTACAGACCAAAAACGTGAATGGCAATGGCATCGCGCGCGGTCAGCTCTGAGTACAGCCCCACATCCTTAGAAATGAGCCTGCCCTTTCTGGGGAAGGAAACACGGGGTTCACAGTGAATTCCCAGGCATATGAGAACAGTGGTGGGTCCCAGTCACGCTGTCCCAGTGACACCAACTCTAGGAAGTCCTTCCTAACTACCACCTTCCAGAAGTAGAGTCAGGCCTTTGCACCACTGGTCTCTCCAAAGGTTCCAAGGTGATAGATAAGAGCCACAACCCTCAAAGCCCTATCAAACGTCCACTTCCGCATTATCCTATGCAATGATGTTCCCATTTTACACCTGAAAAAATGGAGATGTCGGGGCCAGAGCAATAGCACAGCGGGTAGGGCATTTGCCTTGCATGCAGCTAACTGGGATTCAATCCCCAGCATCTCATACAGACTCCTGAGCACCGTCAGGAGTCATTCCTGAATGCAGAGTGAGGAGTAACCTCTGAGCATTACGAGGTGTGAGCCAAAAAGCCAAAAGAAAAAGAGAGAAAGAGAGAAAAGAAATGGAGAGGTCTATGCTGGGGAGAAAGGCAGCTCAGACAGAGAAGGGAGCACCAAATAAAGGGTGTTGGGAGGATCCACCCAGGATAGGAGATGCATGCTGAAAGTAGACTATAGACCAAACATAACTGCCACTCAATACCTCTTTTGCAAACCACAACACCCAAAAGGAGAGAGAGGACAAAAGGAATGCCCTGCCACAGAGGCAGGGTGGGATGGGGTGGGGGAGATAGGGGAATGGTGGGAGGGATACTGGGATCATTGGTGGTGGAGAATGGGCACTAGTGGAGGGATGGGTACTTGATCACTGTATAACTGAAACCCAAGCGCAAAAATTTGTAAGTCTCCAACTGTACCTCATGGTGTTTCACTAAAAGAAAGAAAGAAAGAAAGAAAGAAAGAAAGAAAGAAAGAAAGGAAGGAAGGGGAAGGAAGGAAGGAAGGAAGGAAGGAAGGAAGGAAGGAAGGAAGATGAAGGAAGGAAGGAAGGAAGGAAGGAAGGAAGGAAGGAAGGAAGGGTGGAAGGAAGGATGGATGGAAGGAAGGGAGATGTCTATTATAGAAGGGAAGGAGTCTGCTTCTGGACACACAGCCACACAGCTTCTCAATTCCAGGCCACAACTGAAACCCAGGCCCGACTACCCCCAAAGTACACACAAGCAAGGTGATGCTGATACCACTGTGAGCCTGGGTCCCAAGTAGGGGTGAGACCAGTGTGCCAGCACCAGGATTTCTTCTGTGAAAGTAGCATGTAGAATAGGAACTTCTCACAGACAGAGGAAGTTCTGTTTGGTGAATATGGCTTTCATTGTCAGTGGACATGCATGTGCCCAGTGGAGAGGAAGACATGTACTTCCTTCCATAGGTCATACTAGCAAAGCTGCAGGTTCATGGGTCAGGGAGTCACTATCTAAACCAGCATTTTTCAAAGTTGACAGTACCCTCTGAAGGGCTCTGGGATGACTTAAGGTGGGTAGTGGTCACCTTGGGTACAACTGGGGACACGTTCTGTTTGCTCAGATAAATTTCCAGGTGGGACAGTGAGTGATTTTATTTTTCCTGAAAAGGAGGTAGGTGGTAGGTCAAAGAAGTTGGGGCATCTCTGAGCTAAAACTTCATCTCTGAGTGAATGGGCACCGCCTGGCCTCCTTTGCTCAGTAGGGGCATGGAAGACACACTCTCCAGAGCAGCGCCTCCATGGACAGCTGTCCCAGAGGATCTCGGCCCAATGGGTATCTTCCGGCTCTGGAACCTCAGCGACTTTGGGGCCGATCCTGTCCTAAGCCTTGCATGGTCAATGTTTATCAGCCTCCTGTGTACAAGATCAGGGACTGACCAGCCTGAGTCCAGGAAATAGACACAGGGTCCCAGAAGACCCATCCAAGAGGACAAGAGTACAGACCCATGCCCACAAGGCAGGGACATATGCCCAGGGCAGGCTGCATTTACCACATCTGGGCCATCCCTGACCCTCGAGGCAAGAAAAGCTGCAGGGAGGCTCCCAGGTCAGAGGTCAGGAATAATCCAAGAGCTGGGCGCACACAAGTCAAGGTAAGAAGGCAAAGAAGTGAAGGTGGGAAGGGAGCCAGCCAGCATCTGGCGGACACAGGCTTGGGTAAACCCCAATGAATGGAACCAGGAAACATCTTAGGAGGGAGCTGGCGCTACTGACCACCCCCTGGCCCCTTCTCTGCCAGGATCTCCCCTTCCCAAGTTCCAGGCTGGGCATCAGGGTTCGCAGGAACAGCCTTTACCTCCCTCCAAAAAAAAGGACCAGAGAGTACAGGGGTTAAGGTGCTTGCCTTGTGTGGGGCTGGCCCCCAGTTTAATTTTTCGAACTACATATTGTCTTCCAAGTTCCGACAGGGGCTGGTGAGCACAGAGCCAGGAGTACCCTCTGAGTACCTGAGTGTGCCCCAACAATACCCCCACCCCCACACTCCCAATCCCCAAAAAAGCAAAGCAGAGTCAAGCTGAACTTCTGAAAACTAAAAAAGGATGCTGGGGCAAGGGGTGGGGGAATATTTTCTCTTGCCTTCTTTAGTGTTCGCATGGACAAAACAGTGTTGTTGGATTTTATTTTACTATAATCCTTTTTTTCTTTTTGCAGTACCAGGACTCAAACCCAGGGTCTCACACGGGAGGGGGGAGATCTATCACAGAGCCACATCCCCAACTACTCAGTTTTCATTTTTTCATTTTGTCTGTGAGCTCAGTCTCCATTTGTCTGGACACGTCAACGGCTGGGTCTGCATCATCTTTTCAAGACACAAAAACTTATTCGTGTTATTCATGCGCATGGTGAGGTTCCAAAAGGCCCTGGCACACACTGGCTGGCAGAAGGGAAAGTGAAGTGCTGGGACCTGCAGACCAGTGGTCACCGCCCCCACCATCCAAAACACACCATCTCTGGGATTCTCATGCACTCTACTCCCACAGGACAGGTGCTGCCATTCCATCTGGAGGTGTGATCACCCCTCACGTCTGCATCACCATCTGTGCCTGTGGTTTCTGAAAGCAACCGCGCTTTCCTCAATCCCCACTTCTGCAGCCCCCCAAGTTCCCAAGAACCTAGCCACACCAACTGCTGCCCAGTCATTCGACATCCCCCCAAGGGAGCTTCCATCCCTTCGGGAAGTTCTACACTAACCACAAGACCACTTCATATATCGCCTCCTTGGGAAAGCCATTCC